AAAAAAAAAAAAGCATCTGATAAAAAGGGCTATGTGCCAAAACAATTGATATATTGTTCAAAATTAAGACAAGTATATAGACACTCTTTGGTTGTCATATTGTTTGACAATTGAGGGAATCAGACTTATGTGTGTGTATATACAGTATATATATATTTATATTTTATATTTATATTTTATTTATATATATATTAGTGCTGTCAAACAATTAATCGCGATTAATCGCATGCAAAATAAAGGTTTTTGTTTACATAATTTGTGTGTGTACTGTGTATGTACGTGATTCCCATCCACTGACATTATAAGACTGACAGACTGCAACGGTTTCGAGTTAAAAATCTTCGTTTGTGTTCTACTGAAGAAACAAAGTCACCTACATCTTGGATGCCCTGGGGGTAAGCAGATAAACATCACATTTTCATTTTTGGGTGAACTATCCCTTTAAATAAGGCACTGTTTGATGGGACAGCCATTTTTAGAGGTGTCCGAAACCTTAGTGGACATTATCGAGTGCACTCGTTCAATCCCACAATGCACAGCAATACTGAGTGTACAACTGATGTATGCTCAACGGCTAGAGAATACCCATAATGCACCGAAAATTGCATAATAGGGGCACTTTAATTAACCATTTCATGGAAGCATAAAATATTGTGTGGACATGAACAACTAATCATGATAACTTACACCGATTGGTTGAAGACTGCATTGATTTGTGGGATGCCAGATTTGTTCGATGGGAACCAGCACTCGCATCTCTGATACTGTCCAGTTTCTTAGAGCCTGACAGATGAGCGTCTGCCAAAGACAGAGACACACAGGGGTGAACCTACATTCAGTTAGACTTTATATATTCTAGCGTTAATATTTAGTGTCTACATGCCAATACTTTGCAGTGTTGTTAACTAAAACGTTAAAACTGCTCCAATAACTAACTAATAAATACATTTTTGGTCAATAAAATAAAGCTGAAATAAAATAAAGTGTAAATATCAGATGAAAAACTTAAACTTGAAAATAAAAAAAAATAAAAATAAAAATTCAAACGGATATTTTTCCATAAAATGAAAACCACAAAGGGCAAAAAAGACTTAAAGAATAAAAAAAAGTTATACTATGGAAGCCCGTTTTCACCACTGCATAAAAAAAGTCATTTGAAAAAGTAAATTTCTCAGAATTGCGATATAAATATAGTTGCAGTTGAGTTTTTTCTTAGAATTGAGAGTTTATTTCTCGCAAATGTGAGTTTTTATCCTGCAATTCTGAGAATAAAAGCCAGAATTGTAGATAAAGTGTCACAATTACCTTTTTTTCATTTGTTATTCAGTGGTGTAAAACGGGCTTCTACACACTATACTGTTAAACAAAACTATACTTATATGAGAAACGGATCAAAATTCAAAAATGACAAAAAGAGCGGTGAGAACATTCTGGTAAACTTATCCTTTTGTGCTTAGGGTTGCAAAGGGGTGGAAAATATCCGGAAACTTTCCAAAAATCCCTGGAAAATTCAAAAAAAAATCCTGGAAAGTTTCCAAAATTTCTGGAATGTTTCTGAAATTTACTGGAAATTATCCAACTTTTTTGCAACCGTATTTGTGCTCCACAGAAGAAAGTCAGATAAGAAATAAAAAACACGAGTTTGAAATGAAACGATAATGTCTGGACTGTTGACTGGTGAAATCTTGCAAGTAATGCTCTACATTTGAATAGTATCTATGCATACTGTTGTAGACCGGCCTATCTGAATGCATTTTTCAGAGAAAGACTTTTATAAATTGGTTCATCCATTGCACACTGAGCTAAGTAATCAAATAAGCCAATGCAATCAACAAACAGGACAAACTTGCTTATTATGTGCTTATATAGGACACGTGGTGAGCCGTCCCAGATGTTTGAAGAGGGAAAAAAATAAGTACATGGATTACTGCATTCCCTACAGAACAAGAGCAAAGTGGATCTGCCACTGTACACACAGAAATACTGTATGATCAATCAAACAAATAATACAGTTCAGCTAAAACCATCAAACAAAACAATAGAAAATGCATTGGATTTAAACTGGCATCAATCATATGACCAAACTTGAAAATGACTCGACCTGACTGCAAAACAATGCTGAAAAAAAACTGCATACTAAAAAGCCAGTTTATCCATTACAGCAGATGCATTTTATCCTTAATTACAAAACTAATATTAAAATGTGAAATATGACCTTGAGAACATGATAATAAATGATAATAAAATGAATACTTATTATTATTATTATTATTTGTAATGTAATGCATGGCTTTTATCTCTGCCAGTTTTACACTTAAAAAATATTTTCAACCAGTAACACAATATGTGAATGAAAAATAAGAGTGTTGTTACTGTTAAACAATGCTGGGTAGTAACTGATTACATGTATTCTGGATTACAATAGCAATAAATTGCATTAAATTATTAGCAATATATTATTCATAATTTATTGATTCCCCCATTTCTTCTTTTTCATCTTTTAAATTCCCTTTCTAAAATAGCCTACCACTTATATAGAAAATAAAGACCAGTCACTAGTCAGGTGGCTACACAGCATTTGACCACTGGATTTACAAAAAATCCTTTTATTTTTAAGAAGCGTTTCAACATTGTATCAATACTGATGAACATTAATTTTTATTCTTTTTTATTTATTTATTTTTTATATAATTTTTATTTTATTATTTAACCATGTGTTACTATGTCTTTGGAAGGCTTTTATCTTTCAAACACATTAAAATGGAAAATTTTTGTCAGCCGAACCTCTTTCACATAATATATTTACTTGATATTTTAAGGTAAGAAATTAATAACACATGTGCATGTTCACGGTTCTCTAACATTGGTGAATGGTCACATGACATGCAAACAAATAACATTTCATTTTTTTAATGTGTTTTTTTTTTTGATTGATGTTATTTTAATTTTAAATTTTTATGAATTAATTTTTTAGCTTTTCATTAACCTCACTAACCCTCTACAGTTCCTTCACTAACCCTCATTTGTTATATATAACATACATTATGTTAATAATAACGAATGAAATATATTTTCTTATTCTTTGTCATTTTATATCAATATGGTACAAGATTATCCTATTTAAATAAATATGATAAATGAGTTAGATTAAAAGTAGTCTGATTATATTACCTAAAATGTGTAATGTAATGATTACGGTTTTTTTTACGTCTTAATTTGGTTTTTGGGGTGCACTACAATAGGTTTTCATGCTTGATTGTTGTTATTTCTCTTATAAGCTCTGTTTAGTTCCTGTTTCGATGAAGCCCCTCCTTCTGAAACACAAACTGTGCTCTGATTGGTTAGCTGGCCCAGTGCGCTGTGATTGTTGTGTTCCGGAAAGGACACGCCCCTTTCCATAAACGTGTGTTTCATCTGTGAATATTAACGATGGCGTCAGTTTCGCCCGATTCATTCGTTTTGTGCAGAACGTCTGCAAACACAAATAAAGGGCTTTTGGAACCGGGGGGGTGGTGGAAGAAACCGCATCTTATCGCCACGAGGACAACACGCTCTTCTTCTTCTGAGTCTTCTGTAGCGCAGCTCAACCAGACCACACCCGTGGGCGGAGATTATTTAAATGAGTGACATTGTGACTTCACAACATGCAGAAGAAGCGTGCTGTAGTCCTGAACGAGCCGTTTGCTGTCGTTCTTGAAAAGTGTTTTCTGTTAAAGAGAATATCTGCCTTTGGAGTGGACTTTGGACTCAAACAGCAACATTACACACCAACTAAAGCTGAAATAGTGCAAAAAGCATAACAGGACCAGTTTAAATATTGAAAAAGATTACTCGCAGCCAAAAACACTATGTACATTCATAAGGTGTGTTTTCAAGTATTAGCGGAATAAAAACAACAAAACCAGTGGACAACATTGTGGTTCATCTCCTCTGTTCATACACTGTTAAACAAGATGGGCAGCTTTACCTGTCCCTTTCCCATTGAGGGGGGTGTTATAACGGGACCACATGGTGGTCTGTCTGGGGGCGTCTTCATTGGACACTGCGGTGCCATCCGGATTGGCATAGAACAAGAGGAGCGGCTGGAAGTGACCCCGGATGCATTTAGATGCCACATCTTTCCACTTGGAGCCAATCTAGATACAAGATATCAGACACAGAAATATGAGAGCGTATGATCATATTGCTTCAGCATCTGCAACCATAGTCCAATGCAAACTAGATCTGAGCCAAATTTAAAAGTGCTTGCTAATGCTAAACATAGATTTAATTATTATTCACGCGGACACTAATGACATCCGGCTTTACTGGTCGGGAAATCCAAAAAGTGATTTTAAAGAGATGAGTGTGCTTGCAAAGATGATGGCAAACACTTTAATCTGCTCTGGTGCTACTCCAAAAAGGTGGCGAATAGAGATATGTCATCCAAATGGTGTCCAGAGAATATAGTAAAATAGCATTCAAAGATACCGTAACTGGAATAGTTTGTGATGTAGACCTGGTGTGCTGAAGAGAGAATCAGACACAGCGCATAAATCACACCATAGAGACTGTGTTTGCTCTAACTCTTAACTGGGGTTAGCCTACTCAATCTGCAGCTCATTATCAGCCTGTCTAATTACAATTACTTCAACTAAAAATAGATTCACTAACAAACATCCACATCTGATTCCACTTTAATAGAGAGGAAAAGCCACCTAACTTAGTACAGTATCATTACACTATACTGACTAAACTACTAAAGGAGGTACTTTATATAGTTTCTAAACCACTTCTCAAATTTTTTTTACTTTTTCCTATCTTTAGGTATGGAAGCCTGTTTCCGCCACGATATAAACTCTCAATTCTGACTTCATAACATACAATTGCGAGTTATAAAGTCAGAATTGTGAGATGTAAACTCACAATTGTAAGCAAAGAGACTTTTCTTCTCAGAATTGGTCTTTATAACTTACAATTGAGAGTTTATATTTGACAATTTTGCGGGGAGAAGTCAAAATTGTGAGATGTAAATGAACAATTGCAAGAAAAAAGTCAGAATTGCGAGTTTATATCTTACAGTTCCAACTTTATTTCTCACAATTGCTGGTTTATATTCCCCAATTCTGACTTTATAACTCACAATTGCAACTTTATATCACACAATTCTGAGAAAACAAGTCAGTATCAAGAAATCATAACTGTATCCTTGTCAAAGTATCATTTTCATTCCCATTTGGTTGCACTTTAATTTATGTGTCTTTTCCCAAGAAAGTACTTAGTAATATAAGGTAACTACAATGATAAGATGGGTTAACATCCTAGCACCTCTTTTCTACACGATGTAGATCATTCAGTAAAATTAGTAGCAGCTAAAATAATTTCTTGGGTCACTCTGTGGTATTAGTAATATTGCAAAGCTTAAATCGCAGCTCAAAACGTACCTGTTCTCTGAGTGCTATCATTCATAGGTGTTGCTCTGTATTTGTTTCTGTCTTGTATCTGATGCTGATTGCTACTTTTATGTAATGTCCTTCTTTTGTCTATGTATTATACAACACAATGCAACAAATTTGTTTGACTTCAATTTTCTATGGTTCTGTTTAAGGATACGTTGAGGGTTAGTATATAGTTATTACCGAGTTATTAATTACTATAGTAAATAAACAGTATGTACAAGCAGAACAGGACTGTAAAATAAAGCTTGATTCCAGAAATTAGTCAAATGATTGTATGATTTCAGAAGCCAAAGTGCTGCAAGAATCTGTTGGATAATTTGTAGTTTGATATATTTGTAAATATTACATCATATTCCAAATTACGAAGGCGTTTTAGTGCCACGTTAAAAAAATATATATATCTAAGATTACGAGATTAAAGTCGTATCAATACGAGAAAAGTCTAAATGTTTTGAGAAAAAAAAGTCAAAATTACGAGATTAGTCGTAATATTTTAAGAAAAAAAATTTAAATTACGAGAATAAAGTCATAGCAATACGAGAATAAAATTGAAATATTCTGAGAAAAAAAAAGTACAAATTACGAGAATAAAGTCGTAGCAATACGAGATTAAAGTCGTAATATTTTGAGAAAAAGTCAAAATGACGAAAAAAAAAGTTGTAGCAATACGAGAATAAAGTTGAAATATTTAAGAAAAAAGTCGAAATTGAGAAAAAAATCTAAATTACGAGATTAAAGTCGCAATATTTTGAAAAAACAGTCGAAAATACAAGAATAAAGTTGTAGCAATAGGAAAACAAAATTGAAATATTTTGAGAAAAAAGTCGAAATTACGAGATTAAAGTCGTAGCAATACGAGGTTAAAGTCTAAATGTTTTGAGAAAAAAAGTAAAAATTACGAGAATAAAGTCATAGCAATGCGAGAATGAAGTTGAAATATTTTGAGAAAAAAGTCGAAATTACGAGAATAAAGTCGAAATGTTTTGAGAAAAAAGTCGAAATTACGAGAATAAAGTCATAGCAATGCGAGAATAAAGTTGAAATATTTTGAGAAAAAAAAGTAAAAATTGCGAGAATAAAGTCGTAGCAATACAAGATTAAAGTCGAAATGTTTTGAGGAAAAATTCGAAATTACGAGAATAAAGTCGTTGCAATACGAGAATAAAGTTGAAATATTTTGAGAAAAATCGAAATTACGAGAATAAAGTCGTAGCAATACGAGAATAAAGTTGAAATATTTTGAGAAAAGTCGAAATTACGAGAATAAAGTCATAGCAATACGAGAATAAAGTTGAAATATTTTGAGAAAAATCGAAATTACGAGAATAAAGTCATAGTAATACGAGAATAAAGTCGTAATATTTTGAGAAAAAAGTCTAAATTACGAGAATAAAGTCTAAATGTTTTGAGAAAAAAAGGCAAAATTATGAGAAAAAAGTCATAGCAATGCGAGAATAAAGTCGTAATATTTTGAGAAAAAAGTCGAAATTACGAGAATAAAGTCTAAATGTTTTGAGAAAAAAAGGCAAAATTATGAGAAAAAAGTCATAGCAATGCGAGAATAAAGTCGTAATATTTTGAGAAAAAAGTCGAAATTACGAGAATAAAGTCTAAATGTTTTGAGAAAAAAAGGCAAAATTACGAGAAAGAAGTCGTAGCAATACGAGAATAAAGTCGTAATATTTTGAGAAAAAAGTCGAAATTACGAGAATAAAGTCGTAGCAATGCGAGAATAAAGTCGTAATATTTTGAGGAAAAAAAATCGAAATTACGAGAATAAAGTCGTAGCAATACGAGAATAAAGTCTAAATGTTTTGAGAAAAAAAGGCAAAATTACGAGAAAAAAGTCATAGCAATGCGAGAATAAAGTCTAAATATTTTGAGAATAAAGTCAATATTATGAGAATAAAGATTATAGCAAAATACAGACAATATGTCTTACAATGTTTTTCAAGCTCTTTAATGTGGATCAATCGTCTTTTCGATTACAATGAGACATTCGTTTTATTAAATTATACTGTTTTCTTTGTGAAAATTCCACCACCTACTCCGCAAAAACGTCTGTGGTGTCCAACCTTTCATTCCTCAAGTGTATTTAATTAAAAACAGCAATAAAACGCTCTAAAGGTTGAAGTGGGCTCCGACTCATGGCATGCAATGGTACTGTAAATACCAAAGCCACTGACAGCAAAATGATGAAAGCAAGCTGCTGTTGACTGCCATGATCAATCAAATGCTGGAATCTCATGGATCAGCCCTACAATCTTTGATTTAGCAGCTAAGATCCAGCACATTTAAGGAGGTAAATGTCAAATAATAAATGAACCATTTCACTCTTGTGTGCACAAATATGACCCTGGAGCACAAAAGCAGTGTTAAGTCGCTGGGGTATATTTGTAGCAGTTTTCATCAGTGACTCTATAGAACAGCTGAAGAATAAACAGAGAGAACAGTCAAACTGACATTGAAAACTAGGAAAATTTGATATTTTGAAGCATTGTGCTTCACAATGTGACACACTTAGTCTACAGCAATGTATTCATCCCATCTGCAGCCTGCGATGTCTAAACATCAGAATAAAAGGGTAAACTGCCTTTAGCTCGAGCGATTCAAGCTGATGTACAGGATGGTTTTGTCATAGTGTGCCAAGGTTCATGATGTCTCCCCTGGTTTAGTGACCTAGATCCAAGAGTTCAACTTTATATTTTTTAATAGGATATATTACACCGATGCGTATTGAGAAGATGTTTATCAATGCTACAGGCCTGTGTTTCAAGTTTAAAAAAGATAAAGGTACATTAATTGATTGTTTTTGGTACTGTGACAAAATATTGCCATATTGGAAAATACATAGCGTAATGAAAGGTCTTATTAAACTAAACTTTGATATGACCCCAGCTTTGTATTTATTGAATCTTAATGTGAACAGTCTGTTTAAAAAAGATGCAATACAGTTATTTATTGTCCTGGTATGTTTGGTTAAATATGCATTTTGTTACTTTTGTTGCTTTTAAAATGTGGATATCACAGATTGCTAAATGAAAAGCTCACCTATGATAAACATCAAAAATCTGATAAATTCTGGGTGATATGGTTTTCATCTCGTCTTTCTTGACGTACATAGGTCTGTTTTTAACTTCCTTTAATTTTATTTGATCTCTTATTTAAAGATCACTAACGGTGTGACCTTTTTTATTATTTGTTGTCATGTTTACATGTATATATGTCCCTTTTTTCCTCTCTCATTCATTTTTTACGTATCTTTTAGGTTTTGTACATTCTGTAACATGAATATATGTTGTGATACTGTTAATATTAATTTGATACTATGGGAAAACAATTTAAAAAATGTTATTTTATCACCGATACACTATTGTGGTTTTTGTTTATTTTGTATTAGATTTTATTTTTATATTTTCTGTTCTTATTTAAAATTAAGTTAAAGTTTTAGTGATTTTGTAGTTTGTGTTTATTATTTTTATTTTTTTTAGTATGTTATTATTAAGTTTTAGTTTATTTGGTTGTAGTCATTTAAGTACTTCAGCTTACACTAAATGAGAAAGGTTGCCTTGCAACCTAGCTGAAATAAAATAAGTTTCAGGTTTTTAATATTTTATTTCAGTTGATGAAATATTCTTATTACCAACTCCACATTTATATATATATTTTTTTCATTTCAATTTAATCATTTTAGATTCATGATATAATTTGTATTTAAACATTTTTAAACAAATTAGAACAATTCTAAACAGAAAATTATGAGACTTTTGGACACCGCTCCAGACACTATATATACATATTAAAAAAATTATAATAATAAAAAAAAAACCTTCAGGTAAAAATGCGTAATAGACATTTAGTTTTGGACTTGTATATACGCCGGTCTCCCTACATGTTGGTAAATCAATGTTTTGATTTAAACATGACAAACAGTAGTATAATTACCCAACACCATCATATTGAATAGACACTGAATAATAAACACTGATAATGAATGAAAATGAATGAAGACAGCTACAGTGGTGCGGAGAGATTTGACCTCACCCCCGAGAGATTAAGGTTTGGACCCAGAGAGCGGATGACATCTTCAGTGAGGTCAGACTGTTCAGCGTCCCACACAAAGCCAATGGTGACGATCTCTGGGCAGTTCATCAGCACACGGCGGATTTTTATACTCTGCCCACAGTTACTCTGCAATGCACAGATCAAATTACACTGAGCGAATGGTCAAAACAAAGCCATGCTGACACAGTGCATTATAACAATACTGTTTGATTTGTATAGTGCCTATGAAGGCCGGAAAGAAAAGCATGAAGAGAGATTAATTATAGTAATTAAATCAAATCGAAACACTACATGATGGAAATAATGGACAGAGAAGTAGGGGCGGAGTAACTAGTGTAAGTTTTAGGGGCAGAATTATGAAAAGATTTGTAAATTATAATGAGACACTTATATCATATGTATTAGGAAACAGTCCGTTTCATCTAAAAGGCATCTAAAAGACAATGAGAGATTTCAGATGTCAAAGTAACATACCTACACAGTCATTTTGAATTGTTTTAAACCTACAATATATGCAACTAGTGAATTGTTAAAGAGTTACAAACCTCACAAATGTTACAAATGTTACAAACCTGTGACTTTCTCTCTTCTGTGGAACACACATATATTACTTTTTTGATTTTGTGTCCTTTTAATTAAAGCCTGAAAGTTCCAGTACCCATTCATTACAATTGCATGGAAAAAAAAAAAAAGAGTGATTAGTACATTCTTCAAAATTTGTCCTTTTGTTTTTGTTGTGAAGTATTCTAGTATACTCAGATTTAACACTCGCACTACAGTTGCTCCTTGGCGATTCATATCATGCAAGTCAGCGGCTGCACGTCTTTGAGAATAAGGAACACAAAATTAATAGCCGTGGCTCCTGATGATATACTGAGGTCTTATGAAGCGAAACGATCACTCTGTGCAAGAAACTGAACATCATTTACAACATTATTACCTGTGATCCAGAGCCTCAGGCAAACGGTTCACTTTGTGAATGAATCATTCTTTTGAACCGGTTCTTTTTAGAGAGCTGAATCAGTTCATCACATCAGACTCAATCAAAACTCACTTTCAGTCGCTGCGACTAGAAATGAGCCGGAATAGCGGTGTATCTGATTCTGTGATGAATTAACTGATTCAGCGCTCCAGCTCCTGCAAACAGACACTAACTGAGCAAACAGTTCGACTAGAGCCTCAGGCAAACGGTTCACTTTGTGAATGAATCATTCTTTTGAACCGGTTCTTTTTAGAGAACTAGCTGAATCAGTTCATCACATCAGACTCAATCAAAACTCACTTTCGGTCACTGCGACTGGAAATGAGCCGGAATAGCGGTGTATCTGATTCTGTGATGAATTAACTGATTCAGCGCTCCAGCTCCTGCAAACAGACACTAACTGAGCAAACAGTTCGACTCGGACTGAAGACCTGCTGATATGCGAGAACCGAACACTTGAACGAAGGGCCAAATGAACGTTTTTATAGTTTCTCATTGTTTACATAAAAAGGTGAGCTGATGAAGACGAGTTTATTCACTTTATATGCTTTAGACACATAAAACATCCACGTTTCACATCATTATTGGGTGCTTTAATAATATAATTGCATATATGTGACGTCATTGCATGATTACGTTAAACGAACAGTTGAACTGAACCAGTTCATTGAATCAAACTGTCTGAATGAACCAGTTCGTGGAAAAGAATCATATTTCCTCATTTGCCTGAGGCTCTGGATCACAGGTAATAATGTTGTAAATAATGTTCAGTTTCTTGCACAGACTGATCGTTTCGCTTCATAAGATCTCTATATATCGTCAGGAGCCACGGCTATTAATTTTGCGTTCCTTGATATGCTTTTTTTATTCTCAAAGACGTGCAGCCGCTGACTTTTATGAATCACCAAGGATCACAGTTTCGGCTAAAAATCTTCTTTACTGTTCTACTGAAGAAAAAATGTCACCTACATCTTGGATGGCCTGAGGATGAGAAAACTAACATCAAATTTTCACTTTTGGGTAAACTATTCCTCTAATACAATGTCCATGAAGAGAGAAAAATAAATGCATAAAAACATTAATTTATCTTTCTATTTGGTTTCACTTTTAAAAAACTCTTATCTACAGATCAAACTGTGATAAGCAACACCGAAGTAAACAGTTTTTAACTTTTAAGAAATAAGGCAAATAAGGCGAAATCTGGTGTACATGCAACTAGTTTAAAAAGAAAGAAAAGTTGATATACAGGGCAGTTGCGGAGATCTCCGATGGTGTTGGCCGCCTGCAGCAGTTCACCAAACATGTCTGAACGCAGTCTGTCGGTCTTCTCCAAGATTCGCTCCACTTGTTGACTGACAAAAGAGCAAAGAGTGCACAGAGAGGACCATTTCAGTCACTAAACCACTCTAGAGAGCAGACAGTGTACCTCTGACCTCTATTCCACTTTGCAAACAGTGCTGTTTTCTGTGAAGCTTTCAGACACGGTCGGTCAATTTCACGTCCCAAAGAATGCATGCAAGACGGTTAAAATGGGTCTGTTGGGTCCTCACACTGACACTATTCATAAAAACATACACTATTATTGTTACTCGGCTGAAAACATTTTGCTCTCCAGGAGAGAATCCCTCACAGTAGATGATTTCATTCACTCACCATAGTGCTGTGGAGGACACATAGTGCACGAGCTCAGTGAAGGGAAGATGGTCTGATGATGCTCCACAGCTACGACAAACAAACTACGGAGGGAAAGAAACTCCTGTGAGGGTGGAGTGAAGTCTAACCAAGCCACCAAGCATTACAGAAACCTGCCATCGTAACGGATTGCCATGCACATTTGAACACAAACAGAGAACAAACGGTTAATGAGTAAGTTTTAATGAAAATGGAAAACGACATCATAGTACCTGCTCATAGAGCGTCATGGCAAACTTCTGGTGGGTGATGCACGATTTGGAAGTACACATTTCTGTGGATGAATCAGAAACGAGGTGCAGGTGTATCCGTTCTAAAATGTTCTCCTGTCTCCCAAAGTTTACAAAACAGATGCAAAAAAAAAAACTATGATCAGTGATGAATCAGATTCTATTGACACAGATATTCTTAGCGCTAGCCTAATACTTCATGTTATTTTTAAAAATCATTGTTATTATTAGAGACATTAAACTATCACAAAGTAGGTCAAACAACAACAACAACAACAAAACAGCTACTTAAAATAAAGCACATTAATGGCACCACATGGATTCAAATTATTCAAAGCAAGAGTAAACAATTATATCTGATTGCTCATACAATAAGTTGACAGAGCATTTAATACATATACTGTACAACACTATTACTATAAGAAACTGCTAATAAGGACAATATACAGTATATATGTATATACACACGCTCTAATTAGATCCTTAATTTTCATCACACAAGTTTGAGATAGAAAAGGCTTGGATAGTTCACCCAAAAATGAGAATTCTGTCATCTACTGTAATTCTAAACCTGTATGATTTTTTTTCTTCTGAGGAACACAAAAAATACATTTTGAAAAAATGTCAAAGTGTTTTTTTTTTCTTACCATGGGTCCAATGTTGTTTGGACTCCACTGACTTCGAAAATATAAAAAAAAAGACTATTATACAGCTTTGGAACAACATGATCGTGAGTAAATAATGACATAATTTTCATATTTCTGTGAACTATCCCTTTAGCTCTGATATGCAGCTTTTACTATAAAATGCAAACATTTAAGCAATAGCCATAGACTGCAGAGCTCATGAAATCTGGCTTAGACCACTGCACACAAGTGAATGTCATTTGTGACCCTGATCAAATGAGATCAGCTGACACAGTGATGTATAAACCACTTTAACTTCCCAGAGATGCATGCAACTTGAAGCACTGCCATACAACTCCAGTTTAATAAAACCTTACTGGCCTGAGAAACCTTCTTTGTAAAAAGATTAGGCTTAAATCTACAGTTAAGAAGACTCTCTTGCACCATGGCTAAACAGAGAGGTGTTTTTATCTCAAATAAATTGAAATTCGAAATTAAAGGGGTCATATGATGCTATTTTAAAGATCATTATTTGGTGTATTTGGTGTAACAGAATATGTTGACATGCTTTAATGTTCAAAAAACACATTTTCCTCTGAGGTCAGACATACAAAACACTCGGCTGCATCATCCATGAGGCCCAGCTGGAAGCGCTGCTCATCTTTAAAGGTCTCGGCCAGAGCGTGACGCAGGGTATCTGACGGCAGAGCCCGCTCTCCACTCTGCTGGAACTGACAGAAGATGCTCTGTGGAAAGAAACTGAAATAAACCTCACGTACAAACAGAAATGCAAGAGTTCCTTGAGAAAAATATATGTTGCAAAGTGTATGATTATGAATGTCTGTGTCATGTTAACTCACAGAACTGAGTAAGTCCAGACTCACTGTTTGTTTACGGCTTTATACAAAGACAACATCCTAACTATAATGGAAGTGCATAACTGACTTGAGATGTTCTTCATTGGAAGAATCTTCATTAACTGTACTATTACCTTTAGAATTTAAAGAACTAAATGAAATGTGACCCTGGAGCACAAAACCAGTCATAAGGGTCAATTTCTCGAAATTGAGATGTATACATCATCTGAAAGCTGAATAAATAAGTTTTTCATTGATGTATGGTTTGTTAGGATAGGACAATATTTGGCTGAGATACAACTATTTGAAAATCTGGAATCTGAGGGTGCAAAAAAATCTAAATATTGAGAAAAATCGCCTTTAAAGTTGTTCAAATGAAGTTCTTAGCAATGCATATTACTAATCAAAAATTAAGTTTTGATATATTTACGGTAGGAAATTTACAAAATATCTTCATGGAACATGATCTTTACTTAATATCCTAATGATTTTCGGCATAAAAGAAAAATTGATAATTTTGGCCCATACAGTGTTTTTTTGGGTATTGCTACAAATATACCCCAGCGACTTAAGACTGCTTTTGTGCTCCAGGATCACATATTGTTTCTTGTATCCACTATTTTGAATAATTTTTCCACAGAGCTTGACAAAGCAGTATGGGATATTTTTATCCTTAGGACACATGCTATGTTGTCTGAAATTTTGGTTGAAATTAGATCTTTGGGTCACCATGAAATCAAAACTGACAATTATTTGGACTTAAGTTTTATGGAATATTGCGGTGTTTATTATAAATGATTTGTGTGCACATTTTTTAATCTTTTTTTAATTCATGTGTCCTCATAATCTGACGTGTGTACCGGTGCGAGGGCTAAGCATTAATCCAGCAATGTGTCACTCACATGAGATCACAGCAATTAATGATCCAATCAATTCCAGATGGACAAAATCAAGCTCAGAGCTTTCACTCGGATATACGTCACAATAGGGAAGAACTAGGACTTTTGTAAATTAGATTGCATGCAAACTTTAAAAATTACCATAAATTAGCGATTTACAATTTGCTTACTAGGGTTTGAGATATTTGAGCCTTCATGTGCACACCTTTAAAGCGCAGAAAATACAGGCTTCGCCCAAGCAGAAATGTCCAGAGAGCTGTCGCAGGCTCCTCCTGAAGATGTCAAGCTGCCAAAGAACCTGTAAGAAACTAGTCTTTAGTTTGCATAAAATCAGCCTACCACAGTGTACCACATGCAAACATTTCTCACCCTTTATTATAAACTAATTAAAATATTCAGGGCACCTTTTACCACAACTTAAATGCATGGTTGCAAGTTTGAAAAAAATAAAATATATTAAATATAATATATATATATATATATATATATATATATTATGTGTGTCATTTTGACTCAACCACTGATTTCTGCGATAACTGAATTTCTTTAAAAATTAAGTTGTAGTAACTTAATGAAAGTCTTGTTAACTTTGGAAATATTGGGTTGAGGATTTTAGGTTCCCAGCATGCTTTGCATAGGACTGGATAGGGGGAATAGATTTTGAAATTAAGGATAATTTATGTGTTTTTAGTGAAAGATCTGCTAGACAAACAAGGAACTCCTGGAATAATCAAGACAAATGTGTGTGTGTGTGTGTGTGTGTGTGTGTGTA